GCCATCTATCGTCCCTCTACTATCCAAAATAGTGCATTCTAAACCTTCTACTATGGATTGGCTTCATGTCGTCCCTCTACTATCAATTAACTCTACCTGTCATCCTTCTACAATGCAAAAGCATGCACTTGTCGTCCCTTCGTCCAATTAAACTAATGGTCCTGTTTATTGACCGTTAAGTGCAAACAGTCACACCTGGTTAGGCCTTTTTTTATTTTTTATTTTTGCCACCTTGTCTTGTGGGCCCTTCATCATCTTCATCATCATAACCATCACCATTATCCGTCTTTGCCTCCATCTCCACTTCCACAACCCTGACGACAACGTCATCGCCCACCACCACTCTCGCCCTGATCAAACCCTTACCCTGGATCTCATTCCCTACTGGTCCCATGAATTCCATTTCTTCTCCTTCGATCCCGATGAATTCTCATTTCCGAATGCGCTCGTGGTCGACAACGGCCTTGATCTCCTTGATGACCGGGGGAACCAAGTCAATTTCGTCATCAATCTCCTCCCCCAGCGCGTCGAGCAATTCCAGGTATTGATTTGGTCTATTTTTGATCGTACCACTAGCAATCAAAACAATAACCTGTTGATTTGGTCCCCGATGCATTAACTGATCTGGGTTTCGATGTTATTGATGGAACCCATGAATTGGATATGGATGATTTGGAGTTAGATTTAGGGTTAGGGTTTGGTTCTGTAGAGACACACTATGGTAATTCTGTTTTTGTTGTTGAAGCTATTGGTGGCAGTGATGTTGAGGTAGATGTTGGTGGTGATGATGATGATTTCCCTGTGGAGAGGAGGGTTGAGAGGAGGGTTTCAGGTTTGGCTTCTAGCGGGGCTACCTCCACTGTTGGTGGGGTTGAAGTCAAACTTGAACCCCACAGGGAAAGTGTTAGGCTGGTTGGCTTTGAGTCAGATTCAGAGGACGATGACAATGGGGCTTTGGCTGTAGATTTGAATTTAGGTGATGAGTATGGTATGGATCATGTTGATGGTTATGATGAGGATGAGATACTAAGAGATACAGTAGGGTTTTTTTTTTTTTTTTCAATTTCTTTGTGACAGTTCCCCTTTCTTTGTATTCTGTTTGATTTTAAATGAAATTATTTGCATCTTTAACCTCCTTTTTTTTTTTTAGAAAGAAAATTGCAAAGAATGATAAGGGAATCCATTGATTTTGAATGAAATATTTTGCATCCGCACAAATAATGACTGGTGTTCTATTCGGATAAATTTGAAATTTTGGTGAATTCTCAAATGAATAGAAATGGGTTAAATAAAAATATGAATTTATCATTTTTTTATTGAAATCAATTTTTTGAATTTTTAAATTAAATAGTAAACTTTTACTTTTTAAATTTTTTGAATTTTTAAATTAAACAAAAAAAAAAATTAATCCCTCTTGAATGTGTCAGTAAACTATACATCTGAGTATCTCACGACATTACCTAAAATTTCTTTGATTTTTGAAGTATATAATGATAAATTTTCTCTTTTTAATTTAAATACATAAATATTATCTTCTTTTAATTAAGATTATTATTTGTTACGTTATCATTATTCTCTAATAAATTTAAAAAAAAAAAAGTAAAAAAGATTGTAAAATTTTATATTATCATTTGAAAAAAAAAAATTACTTTTTAATTTAAAATTTTGAAAAGTTTGTATTTTTAAACTGATTAATAATAAAATTATTATCTTTATTTATCCATTATCTTATCAAAATGATGGGATTTTCATATTTGAAAATTAAAAATTGTAAATTCCATAGTTACCGGGAATACATGTTAGGGAGGCAACGGTAAGGTAAAAAAGTTCTGTTAGAGATGATGTGGTAAGGTGGGTCCCACAAGGTAAGGTGGAAAAAAATATTAAAAAAGGCCTAACTGGTGTTATCTCACACTTAACAGTGAATATCGTCACACTTAACAGTCAATAAAGAGCACCGCACCTTACTGTGGATGGAGGGATGACATTGGCATTCTTTTGCATTATAGAGGGACGACAGGTGGAGTTAATTGATAGTAGAGGGACGACATGAAGCCAATCCATAGTAGAAGGTTTAGAATGCACTATTTTGGATAGTGGAGGGACGATAGATGGCCTTAACCCAAATTACAAGGCAATTTGAGAATGAAACAGAGAGCCGAAACCCGTACCTAGGATGACGGAGTTCCTACGAGTAATAAGCTCAGCCACGGAGGAGTACGGCAGCTGCGCGGTTGGAGGGAGATAATCCCTTAATGCCAAAAACGACGCCGTTTGTTCAAGTCAGATTCACGTTTCGGTTCACAACTTTGCTCTGCTCCTCACGTTTTATCCGCCTCTTATTTAAGTCCCTGCATAATGAGATTCATACTTTACATGTCTTCAATTTGGTACAAAATGACATTTAATTAACTTTAATCTCGATTTTTCTCGACAAGATGTCACAGATTAATTCCCATGTCACATTAGAGTTCAAAATTTTGAAAATTTTCATTTAATGATTAAAAACCCTGAGAAATTGGTTTTTGAGGAAAATCAAGATTTTTAGAGGATTTTGGTTGGTTAGGTAAAAATACAGTTATGATAAGTTTTGAGTAAAAATTGAGATAAAAATAAAAATTGGGCGAAAATTTTGAGTTATAATAGATATTAGAAAACTACAGAAATTTATAACTACAATTACAGTTTAGCACTTTAATCATTTTCAATCTCATATTATTTTCTTTAAGCCTTGTTAGGGAATGTTGGATGTAACTCTAGTCGTAAATTTTTTAGTTTCTTAATATTATAAAAGTATATAAAATATATTTAATTTATTTAATATTTATTTTAATTAATATTTTATATATTTTTAAGATAAAAAAATTTAACTGTTATTTATATAAATTATTAAATTTTTATTTAAAAATATATATATAATTTAAAAGTCAAATTAAACTATTAAAAATAACAAAATAAATACTAAATATTAAGTTTGTAACGATTTAAAAAAAAATAAATTTATCAAATATTTATCTTATATAGTTAAAAAAAAAAAAAAAAATCTAACCGCTCCTCTTAAATTACCAGGTCAAACAAATTTTTAACCAAATCAAACACACGAATCATTTTCAAGGAAATAAAGTAACTTTTGTTGTTGAAGAGGGACCAGCAATCAACATAAAAAAAGGCCAGAAGAACGAATGTGGAAATTTTACCTTCAGTTGAAGCACATTTGGTTAGGTTTTTGGCAAAGGTAATTTGGGTGCATAGGTGGGATTTTTGCTCCGTAATGGGGTGGTTGGCGTACCTACCTCTGAGAACAGTGATACATTTATAGTGAAATAACCTAACCTGGGGTTGAGATTTAACCTTAGAGTTTAGACCTAACCCAAGAGTTTTGGTGCTTTTCCAAGTTTAGAACACGTGCATTTACTGACTTAGAAATTTTTTTCCCCAAGACTTGTCTAATTTGCCTTCGGTGCATATAAAAAAAATAATAAAT